TCTTCCCGAACCCGCCTTCGCCCCTCCTGTGCCAATGCCCCTCTGCACTCTTCCTTGTCAAGGGGCTGCTGGCATTTTGGACAGGGCAGTTTTATGCTGTCCTGGCTGGCGCACAGAGGGGTGTCACTCAGCCCTGGAACTCACACTCCCCCAGGGTGTCCTGGTGCCTGAAAGGAAGCTTCTGCTCCACACCAGAGCTTGACTCAGGGTCCCACCATTTACTGCTCATGACTTCAATCAGCTCAGTTAACATCAGCCCCTTCATCTGTAAAATGGGAATAAATAAGGACCTTGCCACTGAGGATTCAATGGGTCAGCCTAAGCTTTACCCTCCCTAGCTCCTTCTGGCATGGGGATTACACGGGAATTAATGCCCCATCCGTTCGTGTGGCTGTACCCTGACTCAACTTCCTTGGACCTCCTTTCAGAGGCTCTCACAGTGAAGCTCCCTTGCATCTGTGAAGATAAGCTGCTTAACTGGCCACTGCATGTTTAAAATATTTGTTAGGTCATGCAGGCAGTGAGGTATGCTCTCCACAGGTGCAAAGGGCAAGACAATTCAAAGTACAGCTCCTATATGTTTCCCCCTTGCAAGCATGGTTGTAGCCCTGACTTCGCTTCCAATTTCTCTGTAACGTTTGCTCCACATGATGGTCCCTCTGCCAACACCCAGGGACATACTGCTGTCTAGCTCATCTCATTGTATCCCACAGAACACCCCCCAGGCCAACATCAGTCCTCCATTCTCCTTGATTATATGGTTTGCATCCCAAGCCTTTGAGCTACAGAGTCAGCACTGATGAGTGCAGGGAGCCCGAGTCTAAGTCTGTTCTAGAGTACCTGAGAACACCCGACACAGGACCTGGGATTGAGTAGGTTTTCAATGACCCTTTGACGAATGTAAGAGGCAATCAATGCATAAATGAACACATTCAGGAATCAGATGGCTTCCATTTACCCCTCAGTTCTGCAATGACTGACGTAAATATCAGGGCAAGCCATTTAGTCTCTATGCCCAAATGTCCTTCTCTGTGAAATTAGGAGATTGGACTTGACTACAAATCTCTAGGTTTTTTTCCAGCTCTAATAACTAAGCTCAAACTTAGCTGAAGAATTAAAGATGTTATTTTCTTTTTGAGAAATTTTAGGGCAGGCAGAAGGCTAAAGATTTTTCTAAAATCACAAACCAGGGGACCCTTCCTGTCAGAGAGTACCTTATTCCCTGGGACAAAGGCTCTAGATAGCAGGCAAGCTGCAGATTCTGATGACATAGCTGAGTTGCTGAGCACTATGGAATTTGTTGTCATGGGCTTCTTTCAGGAATTTAGTCTACTCTGTACTCAAAAGAGCCACAGGGACCTCTGCTGCCTGCCCCCTCGCACCCATAGCTCCTGACTTTCCTGCCTGAACAAGGCAGGCTCACACACTTTCCCAGGCTCCAAATCTAACTCAATCCCTCTCCACGCCATCTGCCTAAGGCTCCCACATGCATATTTTATGATTACTGGCACATTTCCTCTTATCTGACATCCTGCAATGCATCCCTCTGCTGTCTATATTATCTCTATCTCTGATAATAATGTTCCTGAAAGAGGCATGTGTCCTTGGGCTACTTTATTACTGGTTGTTTTATACCTTTCCTATCTTATCTCCCCACCTGGTCTCCACGTGACTTCCTTGAGGACACCCTCTGTGCTCCTGTCCCCTACAAGAGGGAGGGCAGAGCTGGGCAAGCAGCAGACTCTTAGAAAGTAACTCTTGAGTGAATAAGGTAACTAGTGAATGAAAAAACTGATTGATTTCAATGTTTCTGAATTAAAAATCCATATTAATGTAGTTCCTGAATTAAGTTACAAAGACCTCCCCTTCTGGGTATTAAACCAGAATAAATTAAATTTTTAAATGGCACATCTATGAATACTGTTTTCTTAGGACTGAAATAACATGATTTCACTACAATGGGAATGACAGCAACAATGCCAACTACATTTGAAATGTAATTTTCAGATATCCACAGCAAATGATGGGGCACCTCTTTTATTTCTTAGTAAAAGCATATTTTACCTGGAGCTAGGGAAGGTAACAGGACAATCACCCCTTAGTGTTAATTTTATCAACTACCACTGCCATGTGTGAAGCTGGGGAGTTCAGGGCAGTGAGAACAATCCTCATACAGTATTTTCTCTAAACAGGTTGTTTAAATCTATTGCCGATCAGGGATGAGCATGTGTTTAGGAATTCCTGGGACTTAGCTAAGTCTAATTAATTCTAGTTCCATGCCTTCCTGTGGCTTAACAAACTTCAGCTAAAACCAAACTAATCAGGAAATTGAATTATCTGTTCTCCCAGGCACTTCCTGGTCACAGTCAGTCACCAAATAAAACACCAAAGGTCAACACAACACTGCTGGAGTAGAAACATTATGGCTACGCCATCAAAGCTTAATACAGCTTAATGTTATAAGCCCTATTAGCTGCCCCAGCCCAACAGAGGACAGCTTCACCGTCTCTTGGAAATCCCTACTCTTGCAAATATACATAAACTTCCATCACTAAAAGCACTGACACTACATTATTATAGACAACTGCACTGACACTAATATTAAAATTGGAGAGAGTGACTGAGGACTGTCAGATCTGAAAAAGTCCATTAAAATAGATATTCAGTGCTTATGTGCTGCTTGTATGTGGTATGTCTTCCAGCTCAAATCAGACCATGTCAGAACACATACCACCAGAAGGGCAGGGACCTGAGGCACCACAGCAAGACACAGGAAGAGTAAATTCCCTATGAGACTGGTGTATACTACTGAAGTAAAAGAAGCTGTTATGAGGATTTATCCACATTTGCCCAATTGATGAAGTCAAAGCATTTTAAAGCTAGCATGCAATACTGAGTTATTCATCATAGTACTTCATTCTGCACAAGAAAAAGTCAGAGATGGAGTGCCATATCCAAGCTTACTCCACTAGTCAGAGCCTGCATCGAAACTTAGGTCTCTTTGAGCTTCATGTGTGAAATTTAAAAATTAAAAAGGCGCGTAGCAGACAGGCAACAAATATTTGTTAGTGGAACTGAGGAAACAGAGATGCAGGTTCCAGAACTATCTGGATATACTACCTAAGGACAGGATAAGCCAAAGAATTACCTCAAGTTTTGACTGACGTGACCAACATAGCCTAGGCTTCTTCATACTATAAAGCTTCCCCTCTGCAATAAATAAAATGCTACTGAACAATTAATGAAGCCGGCCAGTTGGTGGGGAAAGCAAAACCTTGCTTTACTTCTGAAGAAGTGATCATTTGAAAAAATCTATGCACAAAACAGTATGGGTTTCCAAACACATTAAGTGTAGCTTCAGTGGAGAAATGTATAAAAGGCAGGAATGACTAAGCAACCACAAATAACTAGAAACACCACAACTACCAGGACTCGGGACCAGGGCATGACTGTATATAAAAGTAAGTTGGAGTTTCCCATCTATTGCTCCTAATGCAAAATGGATTCTTTTTTGTACTACAGTGTTGATTTCTTTTTAAATAAAAAGCCTTAGTGATGTAAAAGTACTTGCAAACAGTATTTTATTCCATCCTCCATCCCACCTGCTTCAGAAATACATTTTGGGACAATTTGTTTGTGGCTGTGCAGGCAATTGGCCAAATTTTAAGCAACCAATATTGCACTTTTTGATGTATTTAAGTAAGAGCTCACCAAAGAGCTCTTAAGTCTATAGTTCAATTCTCAGCAAAGGAAACCAAGTCCTAATAATCTTGTAAAACAGTGTTATTTGTCTTGGTGGGTTACCAAGTACATTACTGAATTTTTCTTTCAGGTCTGACGTCTAGCTATTTAACCTTTCTTCCTAAAAAAAAAAAAATCTTCCTAAAAAATTTCAAGATTATTAAAATAATTAAAGAAACCACAATTTACACATTCCCAAGATGAAACTGACCACAGAATTACAGGGCAAGGAACAACACATTTACATGAAATTTACATGAAAATGTTTACAGCACTCGAGGAAAAAGCAAGCAAGAAAAGACAAAACCAAACATCTTGGCAGCACAGGACAAACCTGGCTTACCGACCTCTACGCTGGTGTAAAACTAAAGAAATGGACTCGGTGGCGGGAGGCAGGGTGGAGAGCAATTCGCAACTGAACCTGTTCACCCGGACCGGGCCGGCCAGCACAGCAGCCTACCAGCCCGTAGAAAGGGCCAGGCGAAGGTCCGGACCAGGCAGCCACCACACCAGGGGGGCGGGACCCCGAAGTCTGAACGCCCCTTCCCCAAATTCCGAGCCCACCCGGAGTCCGGCCCCCTCAGGCCGGGCGGACGGGCGCTAATGAGCCGGGGACCCCTGCCCACCTCTGCTCCCCGCCCACCCCGCTGCTGTCGCCCAGTGACGGTCACCTGCCGGCGCCCCCCTT